GCAGTGCGTGAGAAGAACATAATTGTGTATACTATACCGGATAATGCACAGATCGACAAGGTCAAAAGCACTCTTCCGGATGCACGCTCTATGAATAATGCCTCGTGCAGCTGCTACCGACTAAGAAAGTCTCAGAAAAATAAATCTTGCCCACTTGTGTTGAAATTTTACTCGCCCTCTAATGCTGACACCTTTTACAGTAGACAAATACTACTGAAAAAATACGCGTTATCATACGATTAGGTTAGCTCGTGGCAAAACGCCGATCCAATGACTGATTCTTAAACCGTGAATCCCATCTCCTCTACAACACTTCTGAGCACCCACAATTCTGTTGAGGCAGAGCAAAAGGGTGTGAACCTTTCCACACAAAGCACATCGTATTCGGAAACGAACTTGAGTGAAAATGTAAGGTCCAAAAATGGTTCAGCGCATAACCGTAGACTAAGAAGGAAATCGACCGTAGATTTAGACTCCTCTGATAACAATCCCTGTACCCCGGTGATAAACTGCAGTACATCACCCAGTATTCACCAATCCAAGTAGTCTCAATTCCAGGAAGTTGAAGAATGGGGCTACCGGTTCGTCCACAAAGACGATGCAGAATAAGAGACTAATGCCACACACTAATTCAGATGCTCACAGTTTGATAACGCACCTCTCTCTCCAGAAACAAATATTCACAAAACCGACAGGGATAAAAACCGCAAACCAGAACCCGAAACTCGCAGCTACCCGTCCGAAAGAGTAAACCCACGCACCAATATAAACCAAAAGATTGATACACCTAGCTATAGGATCTCGAGTGGTGGTGACGTAAATCGCAACAATTCGAGTCAGTTTAGCTTCCTTGGTAGGCCATTTCCACCCAATTACATGCCCACACCCAACGGGGCTGACCACCCAGTGATCAGAAGTTTTGCTGAAACGACATTACCATTTTTTGTTCAGGTTCACAACATGACCTCAAACATACTACAAATGCTCACCACTCTCCACAGGTTTCGTCCCCCCCCAATATAGATATGACAGCTCATACGGCAATGCCAAATTACTGCCTGGAGCTTACCCTACATAGCCCAGATAATTCTCTTCTTCAGCAAAAACCCTCTATCTCCCTTTCTTATGACGGCCAATCTTCTTTACGTCCGAACTTGCATGAGCATGAAAATATGACTGACCCACTCTGCACTTCTAGCTTTCCTAGGGCATCGACAGACTTAAACATTTCATTGTCGTCTGAGGACACTATGACTGAATCTCATCACCAGCTACTTCAAGACATGGCTAAAATCTTAAGATATGACTCAGCTAATCCTAACGTAGTTCTTATTATTGCCAGGTCAGCTGCAAACAAGATAGCATACATCCAATCCCTGCTACTGATTAGCCAACCTATAGCACTAATGAACACTGAAGCTTGGTGCACAAGTGAAATAAATGATGATTTCTTTCGATGCGAAGGCTACTCATTTTTCAGGAAGGACAGATCAGTTGGGCGGGGTGGAGGATGCATTATCTATGTTAAATCTGACCGCAGAGCTGTGCACTATGATGACCCTAACCTGAATATATGCGATACATTATGGGTGACACTACATAAATAAACAGCAAATCCTGCTATTAGGTTGCATCTATCGCCCACCCAACCACGACAGTGAACTGCTAAGCGAGATAACTGCACTTCGAAATTAAACTTTACTTATAAAGTGATTGGAGGTGATTTTAACATGCCTGAATTGACCAGATTTTCTGTCATTGAACTATGTAGCCTTTTACGTTCTCCTTTTACTAGCTAGGCTAGATATAGTGTTCACGAGAGCGTTTTTCAAGTTGGCGCATGGTACGGCCGATGTACTCAGCTTCACAAGAGCAAGTAAACTGGTATATCTCTTGTAGAGATGGAGGTCGTCGATAGTTGATGATAAGGGGTTGTTTTCGAGGCTGGCCACAAAGCAGTCGGCTAGGAGTAGTCCGAGTGGAGAGCCTATTGCTACGCCATCTGTTTGCCTGTAGATTTCATCGTTGAATCTGAAGTAGACTTTGTAGGTACAACGAAGTAACAGCTCCTTTAAATAATGAGTTGGTATGCCAACATCTATATTGTTGCATTGGATGAAGTCACACAGAAAACAAATAGTTTCTGTCAGTGGAACATTAGTGAAGAGAGAGACGACGTCTAGGGAGACCATCTTTTTATTTGCAAGATTGACATTTTCAATTGAATCAACGAAATCGAATGTATCGCAGAGGTTGTATCTCGACAACTTTTCTTTCACTGGACCAAGAATTTCTACCAGCCACTTTACGACTTGGTGATATGGCAAATTAATCATATCTAAAATTGGGTGGAGTGGGACGTCATTCTTATGCACTTTGGATAGTCCATACATCAAAGGGAGTAAAATTAAGACATCTGGGTATAGCCGAGGCACTAGCCATCCGAAAAGTAAGCAGTCAAACAGAACCAGATCCATGATAAATGTAGAGGTTGGACTAGTTTCTTTTGAACACATAACTCTGGCTTTTCGATGCATATGGTGAGGAATTCTGAAGTACACAAGAAGTTGGTAAGACACTGTCTATGGTAGATTTTTGTTTTACTTTGTAAACGACTCTAAATGTAATGAGTCAGTTGAGTTGGTGTTACAGGTGTGCTGACGAGGTGTTAAATTATGGCGCATATGTCTGAACCACTGCCTCCTCTTTGCAGTCATGGTGGATAATGTTCTCTAATATGTTTTGATAGGACCCCTATAGAATGACCTATGTACTTAGCTCTGCAAGAGCAGGTGAACTGATATATGCACGTTGGAGTGGTCATATACGGAAGTTTGTCCTTCATATTGCTTAGAAGCAGTGGGCGGTTAGAGGATATCACTCTTCTTTTTCTTCTCGTTATCATTATTATCTCAATTTGTTTCCATGCTCATCCTGTTTTTGCACCTGTATTTGTTTAAAAGAAAAACTATTTTACATATAACGCAACTATTTCCTAACCTTTTACAATTTTGTTTTTATTCCCGTTTGTAATCTATATATTTACACCATAGAACTTTCATACCAAGTTGAAAATTATTATCAACTTTGATCTCCTCTGTTATTGTGTGGAATCAAACGATAGTGATTTTATCTATGCAAACTTATGGCATATAAATGCGATTGTACAGCTGCTTTTAAGGATGAAATTGACGAAAAGATGGTTACCTTTTGTTTCATGAACTTCTTGTTCCTTTCCCTTAAATGTTCTGATGAGTATTTTCCAGGAATTCAATGCATTTCCTTCGTCATAATTGTTAGTCAATAGGCTGACTGGTTTGTTCCCTGAATTCTCCTGTTGCTTGTCTCCCTTTTTGGTCATTCGATATTCAGTAATTTGTGACGACAGCTGTTGATGAAAGTTTACCATAGTCACTGTTGGAAATGTGTTTGCTTGTTCCAAGTCATTGAACGGTATATGGAAGCAGTGAATGATGACTTGACATTAGTGTTGAGTATCCGAATCTTGTTCTTCAGGCTGAGTGTTGTAGATTTCTACACTGATTTCAGATAGATGAAGGTTTGTCTTGCTTTTCTGATCTCAACTGGCTTCGATATCGTCATCTGCGTCGCCTTCAGTTGAAATGATGCTACCTGTATATATATATACCAAGTAAAATACTAAATCGCGCCAACACGGTAAGAAATTAAGATGCAGTAGATGCAGAACTCCGCCAACCGGAACAAGTTAGATTCATAAAAGGCAAATCATGTGTTGATTAAATTGAAAATCAACGCACCGTCATCGAACAGAGCATAGAATGGAAGCCAAAGCTCCCTCTACCTCAGTTTCGTCGACATTGAAAAGAGATTCAACAGCTCAGAATTGACCACGAAGTAATTTGGAAATTACTTCAACGCAACGGTGTGCAATGCTCCAAGCTTCATCAACCTTATTCAACAGCTGGCTATATGACAAGGCCACATGTCAGGTGATCCACGAAGGAAAACTCGATAGAGAGTCTTAAGGCGAAGCCAAAAGTAAGACAAAACTGCGTGTCTGCAGTCACTGATGATATTCTTAATTGTAGTGAACTGGATTATGCGTCAGACTGTGCACAGGGAGTGAGAAGACAGGAGTACGGTGGACTACTGGTAAGAGGACTCTGGAAGGTCTGTACTTTGCATCCGATCTATGTTGAATGTCACATAAATTCGAATACTTGCGGGCAAAACTCAACAAACTGACGGAAGAGGCAGGCAGGGAAAACAAGACTCCAGGTGAACATAGAGAAGATGGAGATAGGGGATGAAGATAGCCAACCAACAGCAACAACAACAACTAGCACCGATCACCACCAACGGGAGAGATTTGACAGAGGATACCTCCTTCATTTATCTATGCAACCAGCATCGTTTCAACTACAGGTGGAACGAATGAATATGTCGAAGTCAGAATCGTAAAGGCAAGATACGCATTCATCACTCCGAAATAAGTTTGAAGATAATCTTATGTACTCAATCATTCTCAACACACTTAGAAGTCATTCAGTTCTTCTACATGCGTCGGAAGCACGGGACTTCACCAAAAGCATCTAGAACAGGCTATTTCAGACTTTTATCAACAGCTGCCCATATCGCTAGCTCCATAGTGAACATTAATGGGCTAGCCAAATAGAATTAGCAACAAGAATCTGTGGCAGAGAACGAACCAACAGGCGAGAACCGACTGTTCAACAAATATTCAAAAGAACATAGAGGTGGATAGGATACACACTGAGGAAATCATCAGATGACATCACGCATCAGGCCATCGTTAGGGTGGAAGCCGAATGAGAAACGACGAGTGGGGCGTCACTCTGAGGGTGAAACGGACGAGGGGATCAAAGACTATGGTCAACTGAGGGATCACCTAAAGGCTCCCACAGTGAATAGGACGTAGTGGAAACGTACTGCTGAAGCCTTTGTTCCTATCGGAACCCAAGAGAACAATGATATATATATATATCAGTTATATTTCTTCAAATCACATTGCACAGTGAAGTACAAAACTGGAGCCTCGTTGTATTTGTATAGAATAGTGTAGTATGACTGACTACGTCTTTATAATTAGACATAATTAAGAATATATATGAATGTGTATAAGTTCTTACCATAATCAGTTCTTGCACCACAACTTCGCGTTATCTTTATCCATGAATTCCAACCAGTACTTTCTTGATAAGTTTTAACACAGAATGTTCCAGGTGAATAAGATAAGAAACTATTACAATCAATCATGGCATTCAGCCTTGTATCAAAATATCTTCTAGCTGGACATGAATGATCTTCATTACTATCACATTGATAACATCGTATTGCGGATATCTCTAAAATCGCCATCATCAAATAAAAGACAAAATTAGAAATTTAGGTTATTTCATTAAAAGCAAAGAGCTAATCTTGTGTACCGAACAAGTCTAGATTTCGTCACAAGTAATTCACAGAATCATTTACAGGCATGGTCGAAAACCTAAGAGAAGTCGACACGTGTTTCGCCCAGTGTTCGCACTCATGATCCCACTTGCCAGGAGTTCGACCAGGGACCTACAGGCTACAACATCTAACTCGCTGACCATTCAGTGACCCATGAATTCTTACTCTATAAATTCGTGATAAAGCGCTACTCACAACCAATGCCTTCGATAAACATCGATTTCGTCTTGACATGATAGAGCTCACTGGCTACGACTTCTCAGTACAGTTTGAGAACATCCATCCAGGAGCCATCAGTAAATTGAAGGTTGGTATTTAGATAATGCGTATTGGTAAGGGGTGAGGTAAATTTCATTTTGGATCACTGGTAGATTCATGAACAAGCTCTGGTGAAGAGTCCCAAACTAGGACGAAACAGCTTTCGCGATGGAATTTAAGAAAAAGCCTAAAAATTTATTCGAATTCACAAAAATCCCATAATTTTTTAATATTCCCAGTGTTTAGAAATATTAAACGAGATTTCCGATGTGAAATTAGACATAGTTTTTATATGATGCTATTTAGGTTGGTGGAATCCAAGAGCTGCATTTCGTACCACTTGAGACTCATCACATGGATGTTGTGTCTGCATCTTCAGTGGATGGTAGTATCCCCACTGAGACTCGAACTTAGTACTCGGTTGTTTCAAACTCCGAAACCACATGGGTCAAGTTTTGTGCAACGTGTGTCAGTTGTTGCTATGCTGCTAGGTTGACTATGTTGACCTTTAGACATCGTCAGTCAAATCGTTCGTATTCACAGCTGAAATATTTCAACGCAGACTGGGCGTTTCAGTCACATCTGGAGATCAAAACAACGCGGAATACAAAATAATTAAGATAAAAGCCTTTGGAATACTTGGAAATTAAATAGAGAAAGTTAAAGGAATTCATCATGAGCTGAGATCGGTTAGAAAACCATGAAATAATGATGAAATCCTGTAACCAATCAATGAAATCCCTACAAATAGAGAAAGTGTTGAATTAAAGTTTCATAAAATTCTTCCCATTCAGAAAATTGAACAGATCAAGAACGACGAGTAAATACCAGGATAATCTGAACTCATTTTTTTGTAATATTTCGAGTATTCTTAACTGGTCACAACCTACTGAACAATTCAAAAATATAAAAGTGTTGGTTTACTGCAATTTGATTGGCTACAGGTTCGACCACTAGCCGACATCAGCTAGAGAAGAATTGGAAAAACCACCTGGGAGTACTGGACAGCCGTTTCGTCTTAGTTCATGTCTCTTCATCCGTACGCACCCATCCCAACCCAGGTGTAGATCCTAGGACCCTCCGGCTACAAGATGTGCAAGCTCGTAGACCATTCAGCCACTAGGACACAATCCAATGACCAGTTCATGAATTCCAACTTCTGTGAATTCACGATATATAAAGCAAAACGGCAACTTCAGTCATTAGTCATCCCTTCTTACACCTTACATTATGTAGTAGAATTTTCAAGGACATAGTTTACCAGTATCTGATTGGTCTAAAAAATTTCTGTGTTAATTATAATTACGATTGTATTATAGCTCATGAAAATGAATCGTCGAAAAGGGAAAATTTTCTTCGCTGTTTGTGCCTTTTTTCTTATGACTCAATATGGGAATATTTCGTTCAACTTTAGTTCACTTGTCTTAATTTATGTGATCAGATAGTGCTATCATAAAATCATCCAAGAAACGTGTTATTTTTGTCTTCTGGCTCTACAATTATACATATATGTTTATATGCTCAGAATATTCTAGATTAATAGTCAATAGCAATATTACTGTTTTTTAAACAATATCGATTTTTCAAGTAAGATCAATGGAATTACAGTTGACGAATGATACTTAAATTAAAATAATAATAATAACAGAAATATAACATCAAATAGAATATCAAATAAAATTAGGGAAGTTTCTACAAAAAACTGAGGATCGTTCGAACCTAGATGACCAAGGTAAGGACAATGTTTGAACTAGCTTCTTTTGAACACATAAATTAGGCTTCTTAATTTGGATCCCAACAACCAGCCTCAGTAATATGTAGTAGACGAACCCTTAAGGCGAAGTAAAGATTTGTTTGTATGCAGTAAATCAGTTTGAAAGCTTCCTCGTTGACATCAATCTTGTGTTCTGTGTCCACAAGATGAGGTAGAATAGCGCTATGTGAATGGATATTGTTTGTCCTTTACTTAACCAACCAGGATGGAGGGTGACTTTTGGAAATACGACGAGAAACACACCTAATTGTGCGGCCTAAGCAGCTAACCGGCTTCACAGAAGTGATCATGTGCATGGCTGAAGACTCCCAAAGTGAAACAAAACATCTATCTATCCAGTTCTCCTTAGTTTCACATGATTCATTAGCTAATGGAAATTATTTCACTAAGTCTACTTTAAGATTATATAGACTGTTTTTATCCTGAATGCCGTCAATCTCAAATAACAATCAGTACTGAATTGTATCAGTTCATATCTTGAATCATTCATTCTCAAGTAAAAATTCAAACACAGAATGTGTAATTTTTCTATCCATATACCAAGTGAAATAATTAAGAATAAATTAAGGAAACCAATTCAAAGAAATTTTAATGCTGGCGGCGAACTAAACGTCTTATTCTCTACACCACCGATGGTGGTGACTCCCCGACCAAAATCATCGAAGCACCGCATCCTCCAAACAGCTGAGGCTATTGCAATTCGCCTCAAACAACCAGTGCTTTGTGTGCAAAAGTAGCAAGTCCAGCCACTACTACTGCCCTGGCCAACCTTCAATAGAGACTATAACTTCATAGATTTGTAATATTATCTTTGTTAATTTTTTGACATTCAGCTTATTTTATGTTGATGCTATTGAACTGTTTTACACTGATATTATTATTATTGATTCGATGTTATTTAAACAAAATCAATGTTGTTGATAACACTAATTCATTCATTCACCATGAGGTATGTATAACTGTAGAGCCTGATGATGAATTTATCGAAAATGGGAATATTCTTAGTTGAGTATCCATTTGAAAATTTTAATGCACATATTTAATCAGTTAAAACTTTTTATCTTGTTGTAAATTATGCTACTTATTGAAGTAATCAGTAGTTTGGTGTGTTTAATACATTTTGTCATTAGGTATGGCGTGAATATATCAAAGGGTCAGTAGATCGCTGACGCCTCCTCTACGCGGTCATTTCGTCAATACAACCCAAAACTGTGTTTCAAAATAGTGTGTTCACCCATTCACTATACCAAGATCTTGAACTCTTTTTTGCTTGTCTGATCCTACACTTTTAGTAAAGAATTGATTGCACTCACTTTCAAAATGAAACTACTTAACAACCACCGCCACCACCAACAACTAGAATAACAAGCATCAGGGCAAAGTTAAACTTTAAGCACCACCACTAACCACCCATCATCAAATGACCTCGAATGCACGAATCACGTGAAGGAGGCATTTTTGTGTATGCAATACATATATTTATGGGGAAAAATTGCATAAAAACTGTAGAAAAATGTTACCTCTCACATGTGATAAAAGTAGATCTCAGTTTCAGGTTGGAGTATCAACAGAGCAATAAATTTTGCTTGAAACGTCATCAGTAAATATTACTGTATAACACTGATTTTATCAAAAAATTTATCCATAATGGAGTTATACTCTACCACACTGCACAAGTTCTATTCTTATATCAACAGAATAATTTGACCACATTCTATGCATGTAATTATTTAGGTCTTCTAAGCCTAACAATAACCCCAATCTTTCCTGAACCTAACCCTAAGGTGAAAATATCCTTAAACTAACTCTAATCTAACTTGAACTAACCCCAGTGTCGCCTTTATTAGGTCACCCTAACCCTAACTTGTTCTTGGCTTCTTAAAGCGTAACAAACCTAAACTGAAACTTGCCAGATATCTCATTTAACAACATAACACTTCGATGAGTATATTTTATTGATGATGACAACATTATTTGGTAGGTATCACTAAATTGCCCAGTAAACGTTTCACGGGCATTGATGTGGTCTCACTCCATTGGTAGTTAGAGGTGCTTAAAGTTTAACTCGGCCAGTATCAGTTAGAGCCGAGGGGAGGAATCTAAAAGAAGTCACTTCCTTCGCTTATCTGGACAGCGTCATTTCAAGTAGAGGCGGCACAGATGAAAATGCAAACAGAAGGATAAGTAAAGGCAAGAGAGAGACCTACATTACTCAGAAATCAGTGTGGCGATTTGTTCCACTCAGCATGAGGAACAAGATTCAGATTTCCAACACTAATGTCAAGGTAGTCAGCGCTTCTATATGGTTCAGAAAGAATTCCTCATAAACTGACGTAGACTTTCTTCAGCATCTGTAAGCCAGAAAGGACTAGCGACGAACTACCTCCAATCTGTTGTTAAAAAAAACAACTGCCGAAGAAAATGGAGATGGATTAAGCACACTCTAAGGAGACTTTTGGATACTATCACGGGCCATGCAGTGTCTTCAGTGGAGCCCAAAGCGGAGAAAATGAGTTATCTGTAGGTCCAAAGGTGAAATGGAGGATATCAGGTGTGAGAAGAAAATGAAAGTCTTGACACAGTCGAGAATCGAGCTAAAAACGACTTCACAGAACACAGAGAAAAGGAGATTCCCTATTGAAGCCCTTTATTCCACTTGGAACCCAAAAGAATAATAAAAATAAAAGGAATACTCTTAAGGTTTTTGCTTTGTGCATCCTAATCCACCTTCTTTTGCACTATTCATGCGGATGTGCAAAGAACTCACAATTCATCTAATAAAAACCTGCCCTTTGTCAAGCTACAAAGCATGTCTTCAATTCTCTTGTTCACTGTCTTATAATTTTATCTTTTATGTCTTTG